CTGGATTCAAGGGGATCTTTTATTGCTGGTGGGGAACTATTGTTACAGGAGAGACTATTGTTGCTGGTGGGGATCAGCCGTTACTGGGAGAGAACTACTGTTGAGAGAGGGGTCTACTGGTCTTGCTGCTGAAGGGTCTACTGCTGCTGGGATGGATCTATTATTGCTGGGGGATCAATAGTTGCTGGGAGATCAATTGTTGCTGGGGGATCTTTTGTTGCTGGTGGAGATCTACTGTTGATATAGTGGTCTATTGGGTTGGCTGCTGGAGGGTCTATTTTTGCTGGAGTAGATCTATTGCTGCTGGCTGCAGAGGATATATTTTACTGTTTTTCTTGTTACCATTAACAAATTCAATACACATTACGTAGCACCACAAAATGATGGTTCTGTATCATCTAAAAAAATGCAGTACTGGGAGGTATGTAGGGGGTAGAATCAAAGGAGAGCGCTAGGAGGTGGGTAGGCAGTGAAGACCAGGGAAAGGAGAATACCTGTGCCTATTCTGCAGATACCTAAAATACAGTGTAAAAATTACAAAACCGTACTCAAAGGATCATCATAAGCAAGTAACAACTGATTATAGACCCATAGATATTATATCACATTGGATTAGTATTGTTCCACAAACTAATTTGAATGCTGGAACATTGGGTGCAGAGGTTTTGGTTCATTGTGCTCAGGGCTGAGATTTTCAGGATTGTTTTGGCATTTTTATCAATGTAATGGTACAATTTTCAATATCATAATCTCTTTTGATCAATAAATGGGTTACAATTAAAGGTAGAGTTTGGGGGTTACATTTAAGGATTGGTTTTAGTTTATTGGTTACATTTAGAAGGTAATAGGTTTAAAGGGGACTTATTTTTAAGAAAGGGAGGCAGAGTGGGGAAAGGTTTTAACCTCTGTCGGGTTTATATTGCTGTTTCTCATTGCTCCCCAGTGGGAAGACAAATCTTTTATTTACAGCAAAGGGGTTAGGGTGGGAAGCTCTATAAGTTTTTTTTCTTTCCAATCTGTGTCCCCTATGGGGAGCTGTCATCACTTTCTGTGTGGTCAGGTAATGAGAATAAATCTCCCCAAAAGGGGCATAGACAGCAATAAAAACCTAACAAACACTATAGCCCTTATGTACTTTAACTAAAACCAAAAAATATGTTTTGGATGTGTCTTACAGGGTAAGAGGTAAAGGTAAAGTTTATAATATATTGTAAAGTAAATTCTTATTACATTAGCCAGTGTGATAACACATATATGTTTTTTATGTCTATATGAGTATATGTGTAATTTTAATTGATATTGAGAGTTCCAATGCCAAAAACATACACTTTTGGTAATCTATAAGGGACTAAGGTTGACATGTTTACATTTTTGTAGGGGCATACTTACAAACTGGCTGATAGATGTTTAAATAGTTATACATAATGTGCATAAATAGTTGCATTGCCATTGAAATCTATATTACAAGTCAGCTCTGTGAGCTCAGGAAATCACCCGTACCATGTCATTTTCTTCATTTGATATATGAAAGATATCAATTATGTTTTTACATCGATTAGAAGAAAATAGATAAAAATGCTTATTTTTGCTAAGCCTTTCTACTCTAAATGGTTAGCACTTCCGCCTGGCAGTACTAGGGTAATTGGTTCGTATCGCAACCATGGCACCACCTGCCTGGAGTTTGCATGTTCTCCCTATGCCTGCCTGGGTTTCCTCTGGGTACTCCAGTTTCCTCCCACACTCCAAAGACATGGGGTAGGTGAATTGGCTCCTGTCTAAATTGGCCCTGGTATGTATGAATGTGAGTTAGGGACCTTAGATTGTATGCCCCTTGAGGGTTAGGGACTGATGTGAATTTACAATATATATATTTAAAGCGCTGCGTAAATTGACGATGCTATATACAGTTGCAAGAAAAAGTATGTGAACCCCTTGGGATTACGTGGAGTTTTGCATGAATTGGGCATAAAATGTGCTCTGAACGTCATCTAAGTCACAACAATAGAAGAACACACTCTGCTGAACATAATACTACACAAACATTAGATGTTGCCATGGTTTAATTGCACATAACATGTAAACATTCACAGTGCAGGGAGGAAAATGTATGTGAACCTTTCGACTTAATAACCGGTTGACCCTCCTTTGGCAGCAATAACCTCAACCAAACGTTTCCTGTAGTTGCAGATCAGACCTGCACAACGATCTGGAGTAATTTTGGACCACTCCTCTTCACAAAACTGTTTCAGTGTAGCAATATTCTTGGGATGTCTGGTGTGAATCGCTCTCTTAAGGTAATGCCACAGCATTTCAATCGGGTTGAGGTCAGGACTCTGACTGGGCCACTCCAGAAGGCGTATTCTGTGCTGTTGCAGCCATTGTTTTGTTGAATTACTTGTATGCTTTGGGTCATTGTCCTGTTGCATCACCCATCCTCTGCGGAGCTTCAGTTGGCGGACAGATGGTCGTACGTTTTCCTGCAAAATGTCTTGATAAACTCTGGAATTCATTTTCCCATCAATGACAACAATCTGTCCAGGCCCTGAGGCAGCAAAGCAGCCCCAAACCATGATGCTCCCTCCGCCATGTTTTACAGTGGGGATGAGGTTTTGATGTTGGTGTGCTGTGCCTTTTTTTCTCCATACATAGTTTGTTGTGTGTTCTTTCCAAACAACTCAATCTTGGTTTCATCTGTCCACAGTATATTTTGCCAGTAGTGCTGTGGAACATCCAGTTGCTCTTTTGCAAACTTCAAACGTGCTGCAATCTTCTTTTTGGACAGCAATGGCTTCCTCCGTGGTGTCCTCCCATGTACTCCATTCTTGTTTCATGTTTTCCTTATTGTAGATGTGTCAACAAAAATGTTAGCATGTGCCAGAGATTTCTGTAGGTCTTTAGCTGACACTCTGGGATTCTTCTTTACCTCATGCAGCATTCTGCGCTGTGCTCTTGCAGTCATTTTTACAGGACGACCACGCCTAGGGAGAGTAGCAACAGTGCTAAACTTTCTCCATTTGTAGACAGTCTGTCTTACAGTGGACACATGAACATGAGGCTTTTGGAGATACTTTTGTAACCCTTTCCAGCTTCATGCAAGTCAACAATTCTTGATCGTAGGTCTTCTGAGAGCTCTTTTCTGCGAGGCATGTTTCACATCAGACAGTGCTTCTTGAAACCAGTAAACCCAAAACAGGTGTGTGTTTTTTTAAGGGCAGGACAGCTGTCAGCAACACATCCAATATCATCACACTGATTGGAGTCAAGGTTGGCTCACTCCTGGCTCCAATTGGGTCTGGGAGAAGTCATTAGGCTAGGGCCTCACATACTTTTTCCTCCCTGCACTGTGAATGTTTACATGTTATGTGCAATTAAACTATGGCAACATCTAATGTTTTTGTAGTATTATGTTCAGCAGACTGTGTTCTTCTATTGTTGTGACATAGATGACGTTCAGAGCACATTTTATGCCCAATTCATGCAAAACTCCACGTAATCCCAAGGGGTTCACATACTTTTTCTTGCAACTGTAAGTACCTGAAATAAATAAAATTTATTTCACTGAGAATGCTGAATTGTACCATAGTTACTTAAAGTGGAAGTAAAGGTTAACTATAAGGGTTGTTAAAAGTGTTGCTGTTGACGAGTACTTCCTGGCACGGGGGAGCCGCTGCTTCTCAATCACATGACTGCACTGGATCAGATGAAAAATAGATATTTTCACTGATCTTTTTTATAAAGGCCAATTAACAGGTAGGAGAAGGGGAAGGCAACATTTTTAACAATACCTAGTGTTAGCTTCTATTTTCGCTTTAAGTTCTGCTGCACAGACTAGCCAATAGCATTCAGGGATGCTTGTACTGCTACCCATGCCATTGATAGATGGCAGGTCAGTATCCTACCTAATGTTGGGCTGCTGGATCTTGGTTACTGTGTATCCTTGAAGAAATTGTCACTGTACATTGGTGCAAACTCACACATGGCATTTAGTGTTGGGTCACAGCAGGTAAGGACCAGACCCCAAACTAAAATGCTAAGCTTAAACAGAATTTTGAATGTCTTTCTTAGTTCCACCTGGCTACTAGTTTCAGGCCAAACCAATAAAAAATAACACATCTGTAGCACTACCATGTAACTGATCAATTGCCCATAAAACCCATCGTGGCTGCCCTGGTACTAAGAAATCATTTAATTAGGGTATTGATTGACCAGAAATAAGAAGTCATTACAGATCACCTAGTAATTCTAATGACATTTTATAACCTGTCTTTCTAATGCATGATTACCTTCAGGCCACTAACTATGGCTCACTGCTTCCCATTTAGAGGTCTAGTTTTGTTATAATAGGGAATCCAAACAGCTAACTCTTTGAAGACCATGAAAAATGCTTTAAAGAAATGAAGCAATAACTAAAACTATAAAAGGTTTAGGACACTTAGGGGCCTATTTTTAAAAAAAATGAATGCAAAATTGTCAATCCATGGTGAAAGTTGTGTGAATCTTGCATGAAAACATTTAAAAATAGATAATTTACTGTATATCCAGAACAAATACTCAAAGAGGCACTGGGAATGTTTAGACTTGAGGGGAAACTAGCTCTGATGAGTCAGCTCCTACACAGCAAGGCTTCACACCACACCATTGAAATACAGAAAGGAGCTCCAGGCCTAAACCAGAAAAAAATAGTTCCCCGCAGTTTTAATTGTTAAGAAAGGCATGTAAAAACAGTCCATTCAAGTTTTATCCTGTGTTGACCCTGATGAAGAGGGAGTGGTAATGCTCACAAAATGCTTTGGTTGTTTTTACATGACCTATTCACCAACAATTTAAATTATTTTGGACTCTTTTACCTGGTTTTGGTCTGGTGCTCCTTTCTCTATAAAAATGTTTGTTATACCACCCTAAACCATTTCAGGTAAGATACTGTAGTTTAACCACCTCCCGCCCGCCATATAGTCCAATGATGGGAGCAAGGTGTTTCTCTCGTTCTGGAAGGATGTCATATGACATCCTCCCATTCTCACCGCGCATGTGCGGCTCCGGGAGTGCGCAGCGCCGGGATCGGCGGTGCGCTGTGTCCCTCGGACACAGTGGATCACCAATCCACGGAAAGAGCCAAAGATGTCAGCTTGGTCATGTGATCAGCTGTGTCCAATCACAGCTGATCACATGTAAACAGGGAAAACCGGTTATCGGCATTTCTCTCCTCACAAGCTGTCACGCTGACAGCTCGAGAGGAGAGGAGAGCTGGTAATCAGCATTCCTCGGAGGGGACATGTATACTGATCATCAGAGCACTGATGATCAGTGTGCCCTGATGATCAGTGTAGCCCCAGCAGTGCCACCTGTCAGTGTCCATCAGTGCCAGCTCTCAGTGCTCATCCATGCCACCTGCCAGTGCCCATCAGTGGCACATCAATGTTACATATCAGTGCCTACCAGTGCACATCAATGCCACATATCAGTGCCTATCTGAGCTGCCTTTCAGTGTTACCCATCAGTGCCAGTCAGTGCCACCTATCAATGCCAATCAGTGCCACCTATCAGTGCTTCCAATCAGTGCCACCTATCAGTGCCAGTCAGTGCCGCCTATCAGTGTGCATCGGTGCCACCTATCAGTGCCCATCAGTGCTGTGTATCAGTGCCAGTCAGTGCCGCCTATCAGTGCCGCCTATCAGTGCTGCCTTTCAGTGCCCATCAGTGATGCTTGTCAATGCCCATCAGTGCCACCTACCAGTGCCTCCTCATCAGTGCCCATCAGTGCCACCTATCAGTGTCCATCAGTGCCCATCACTGCAGCCTCATTAGCACACATTAGTGAAGGAGAAAAATCACTTATTTACAAAATTTTATAACAAAAACTAAGTAAAAACTTGTTTTTTTTTCAAAATTTTCAGTGGTTTTTGGTTTGTTTAAGAAAAAATAAAAAACCCAGAGGTGATTAAATACCACCAAAAAAAGCTCTATCTGTCACAAAAAAATGATAAAAATTTCATATGGGTACAGTGTTGCATGACCGCGCAATTGTCATTCAAAGTGTGACAGCGCTGAAAGCTGGAAATTGGCCTGGGCAGGAAGGGGGTATAAGTGCCCTGTAGGCTAGTGGTTAAAGTAGCCTGAATTTTTCCTTTTGGTATTAAAACTTAAGCAGCAATACTGTGAGACATATGAAAAAATATATCAGGGTTTCCACCTCTCTCAAGGATCAGCCCAACACATGGGGCATTTGGACTGGTATCCTCATGAAAATCCAGTGAGTGTGCAGTGTCCTATACTAAAATCAGCCTGCTTGTATTTCAACATTAGGAAATGTTTAGAGAGAATTTCCCAAAAAGAGCTCCTCCGTTGAGTATAGTGTCTATGGGAACCAGGCACTTCAAACACCAATGTGCCCATGAAGTTGTGTTGGCATTGAGCTTAAAGCTGCACTTTATACAGTATTGTGTCTTTTTGTCTTAAGTTAATGGTGAATTACAATATATAATTCCTAGTGTGTTTCGTGCCAGCACTTCCAATGCATTTTTTTAAACACTGACCCTGGTTAGAATAATTAGCCTCTAAACTCAGGAAGTTCAGTGTTTTTCAGGGAAGGCCTGATATACACTGCTCAAAAAAGTTAAAGGAACACTTTGAAAACACATCAGCTCTTAATGGTGAAAAATATCATTCTGGATATCTATACTGATATGGACTGGGTAATGTGTTGGGCACGTAAGGATGCCCCATCGTTTGATGGAAATGGAAATGATCAACCTAGAGACGACTGAATTCAAAGACACCCTGAAAATCAAAGTGAAAAAATGATGCAGCAGGCTAGTCCATTTTGCTGAAATTTCATTGCAGCAACTCAAAATGCTACTCATTAGTTTGTATGGCCCCCACATGCTTGTTTGCATGCCTGACTACATCAGGAAATGCTTCTAATGAAATGAAAGATGGTGTCCTGGGGTATTTCCTAACAGATCTGGCCCAAGGCATCACTGAGCTCCTGGACAGTCTGAGGTGCAACCTGGCTGTGTCGGATGGACTGAAACACGATATCCCAGAGGTGTTCTATTGGATTTAGGTCAGGTGAACATGGGGGCCATTCAATGGTATCAATTCCTTCATCCTCCAGGAACTGCCTGCATACTCTCGCCACATGACGGTAGGCATTGTCGTGCACCAGGAGGAACCCAGAACCCACTAGACCAGCGTAGGGTCTGACAATGGGTCCAATGATTTCATCCTAATACCTAATGGCAGTCAGGATGCCATTGTCTAGCCTGTAGAGGTCTGTGCATCCCTCCATGGATATGCCTCCCTAGACCAGCACTGACCCACCACCAAAACGGTCATGCTGAATGATGTTACAGGCAGCATCATGTTCTCCACGGCTTCTCCAGACCATTTAACATCTGTCACATGTGCTCAGGGTGAACCTGCTCTCATCTGTGAAAAGCACAGGGCGCCAGTGGCGGATTTGCCAATTCTGGTGTTCAATGGAAAATGCCAAACAAGCTCTATTGTGTCGGGCAGTGAGCTCAGGGCCCACTAGAAGACGTCTGGCCCTCAGGTCACCCTCATGAAGTCTGTTTCTGATTGTTTGGTCAGAGACAGTCACAGCAGTGGCCTGCTGGAAGTAATTTTGTAGAGCTCTGGTAGTGCTCATGCTGTTCCTCCTTGCACAAAGGAGCAGATACCAGTCCTGCTGATGAGTTAAGGGCCGTCTACGGCCCCATTCAGCTCTCCTAGAGTAATTGCCTGTCTCCCAGAATCTCCTCCATGATCTTGAGACTGTGCTGGGAGACACAGCAAACCTTCTGGCAATGGCACATATTGATGTGCCATCCTGGAGCAGCTGGACTGCCTGTGCAACCTCTGTAGGGTCCAAGTATCGCTTCATGCTATCAGCAGTGACAATGACCCTAGCCAAATGAAAAACTAGTGAAAAACAGTCTGAAAAGATGAGTAGAGAAAAAATGTCAGTGGCCTCCACCTCTAAAACCATTCCTGTTTTGGGGGTCATCTCATTGTTGCCCATCTAGTGCACCTGTTGTTAATTTCATTAACACCAAAGCAGCTGAAACTGATTAACAACCCCCTCTGCTACTTAACTGGCCAGATCAATATCCCAGGAGTTTAATTGACTTGATGCTATACTCTGATTAAAAAGAGTTCCATTAATTATTTTGAGCAGTGTAGAGATGCAGTGAAGGGGCAGGTGAAGAGTGTTACATTTTAAAAGTATGTTTCTTTTACTACTAAAAGAATTAGATTATGTGGCATCAATATAGCATACACATCCCTGCCATTAGCATCTATGCAGGCCAAACAGATTCAAACTTTGATTCCTTAACTGTAAATTTTCAGTGCATGTTTGAGCTTATTAGATGTCTGATACAGTTATCCCCCCCCGAGTATTAATAAAAGCCCAGATGCACATCATTATCAATAGAATCTCTCATTCAGTCTGTTAGCATCAATACAGTATTAGTGATGATAACACTATGAGAAAGCAGGTATGCTAACATCAATTCTAGAGTCAATATTTTCACATGGTGCCCTCCAGCACAGATCGTTTCTATCCTGACAGTATAACCATCTTGTTCTTTGCACTCTCATCTCTATGCTTTGTCTGTTTCTCATTTTGAAGGTTGAGGGTACTAAGATTTGAACTACCTATAGACATGAGATTGCCATTGCTTTTGTCAGCTGGATGAGATTGGGCAACACTCATATACATGTACTGTAGGTCCTATGCATGACTGTCTGTTGATCACGCTTGCAAGAAACAAGTGATTGGGCAGCTTGGAAAACCCAGATTGTGCCTTCCTGTGATAAGCAAAACCAGCTACGTCCACTGCAATACCAATTTTCTCCCTGAGTTTTGTGTTTATGAATCCACTAATGGACTGGAGAGCCTTAGGGTGGTAAATTTGTGTGCGCATGTTTGGTCCCCTTCTGAGATCCAGGGGCATTTGTGTTTAGTTGGCTTTACCAATTTCTAATATTATTTTAGATAAAAAAGTACATATTCCTTCCTGTGAAAAAAATGCAGCTTTGGCAGTTTTTTATTACAAAACATATTGATAATATTCTGCTGTGGAAAGCTATAGGGGTAGAGGTCTAAAGTGGATCTTAAAACGAAACTCTGCCCAAAAGGGGAGGTTCCACTTGTCTGCCCCCCCCTCCACTGCCACATTTGGCACTTTTTGGGGGGGGGGGAAGGAAGGAGTAGGTACCTGGTTTTAACAGGTACCCACTGCCACTTCTGGGTCAGATCTCCGCGGCGATTCATTGTCATATATCTGCACTGTGAGATCATCTAAGACACTGCAGCCTCAGATTGCTAGATTTTAAATTTAGTAATGTCACCACTGTGCTCCTTATTGTTCTCTTTGATGGACAGGATGCTGCATCTGAGGACCTGCATTGCAAGAATCACCCGACTTCTGCCTAATCTGTGGCTGTCACATACCTGATTGGTGACTGAAATGACGAGGTCGGCCTCACTTGTGTCACTAGTCTAACCCCACTGGAAGTGGAACAAAGGGTGTCTAGGGACCAGGGGGACAAGAGTGCCAGCAGATGTTGTTTGCAGCTGGAGTCCTTAAAATACTGATGGACTACTGATTCAGGAACAGATAATAAAAGGTGCAGCGCTAAAAATCATATACCAAATATTACTCCAAATAATAACTCGTAATAGAATAAAATATGATATTCATAAAGTGACAGTTCGTGGTAAAGTGATGAACAAGGACTGATAATAGCTTCAAACTTCAGTGATGTGCCAAAGGTGTAGTAAAAATATGCACTCACCAGATGCGTATTTTAAATACGCATGTAAATAATATAGCCAGAGGTCCCCTTACAGGATGGAATGGATGAGATAAGCCGATTACGGATTCTCCTCCCTCTGGGTAGTATACAGCCTTACAGATGTCTCCTTGGTGGGCACAGGTTGGATCCAGCCAGAGGCCTCCTTAATGGCTGGGTGGATGCTTTACAGCCAATTGTGGTGGAAAAACTCCCTCCTCTGGATGCAATGGAATACTGCCACTATACCATCTGGAATGGGCTCTGCAAATTAATATTAGCTCGATATAGAGCCAGACAAGAGATAGCCCATAATGCAGTATTGTATAAGTAAACAATTTATTAAAAGATTCCATGTGGTAAAAATACAGTAGCAGCAAGTAATGTGGAGAGGGACTAACCATCCACAAAGCAAGATGGCCATCTTGCTTTGTGGATGGTTAGTCCCTCTCCACATTACTTGCTGTTCAGCCTCTAACTAAAAAACAAGCCCCAGCTCCCCCTAGCTACCAAAGGGGGTGCTACACAAGCAATGAATTAAGTTAAAAAAAAATGTTTAGGTTTAGTATCACCTTAACCACTTGCCCTCCAGAGGATTTCCCCCCCTTCCAGACCAGGCCATTTTATGAGATACGGCACAACATTACTTTAAGTGACAATTGCAAGGTCATGCAACGCTGTATCCAAATTAAATTTACGTCTTTTTTCCCACAAATAGAGCTTTCTTTTGGTGGTACTTGATCGCCTGTGTGGTTTTTATT